TATCTGGGCTGCAGGGGACCCCACAGCTGGGCTCTGGAGGGAGAGAGGTGCGGGTATCTGGGCTGCAGGGGACCCCACAGCTGGACTCTGGGGGGGAGAGAGGTGCGGGTATCTGGGCTGCAGGGGACCCCACAGCTGGGCTCTGGAGGGAGAGGGGTGTGGATATCTGGCTGGGGCTCTGGGGAGGAGGGAGTGTGGAAACTTAACGCCTTTCTGTTTTCACAGTAGCTGCACAGTAATTTCGTTTCTTTGTATTTTTGTGGCTTTGCATTTTGGCAGCAATTAAAGCAGCTATCCTCATTCAGAGGTGGTATCGGTGTTACATGGCCCGGCTGGAGATGAGGCGGCAGTATGCTCTTAGCATCTTTCAGTCAATTGAATATGCTGAAGAACAAGCTCAGCTACAGGTCTGTACTCCAGGGTTGTTATGGTGAAACATGAAGGCCACACTGTCCAGAAATGTATCCCTAAGCTGCACAAACAAAATAGATAACTGCATGTGTGGGTTGCAACTTCCGAGTTGCGTGCCACCTGAATGTTTTGTGTATCCAATTTCCTGATTTACTTAAAAATAGGAATGTGGAAATTGCCATTCCAGACTGGATCACTGTTCCATCCAGTGCAGTAACCTGTCTCTGACAGTGGCCAGTATCAGAAGCTTCAAAAGAAGATGCATGACCCCTGTAATTAAAATAATGGAATAACATGCTTATAGGGGAAGTTTCTTCCTAACCCTCCACCAGTTAGAGGTTACTTTATGCCCTGAAGCAGGAGGGATTATATTACTTGTCTGTTTACAAAAAAAACCCTATCTAATCCCGTGGATGTTTTGGATGCTTACCAAAAAGTTCAGTTTATTTAGCTTTTTGCCTGTAATTTGTTTGTTTGTTAACTGAGGAAGGAGGATGGTTTTGTAATTAAGGCTCTGGACTGTGACTAAGGAGACTTGGATTTTGTTCCTGGCTCTGCCACAGATTTCCTGTGTGATCTTGGGCAAGTCAAAAATTAAAATAGCAGTAAACTAGCGTAAAATATTTCCTTTCTCACACTCTAGTTTGTCAGTGCTTCAGGGCAGATACTATCTCTCACTATTTGTACAGCATCTAGCCCAATAGGGCTACTGTAATACAAACAAATAATCATCCTCATCAACATTTTAAAGAGAGTGGGGGCAGTAGTGGATTATCCAATGGGCCCATGGGGCCTGTATCCGGGGGTCTGTACCTGGGGGGCCCCGAAAAAATGGGCATCCCAGCAGAAATCCGCCATGGGGCAGCAGAAACCGTGGGGCGGGCAGGGGAAGCCCCAGCTGCAGCCCTGGGACTGGAGTAGCTCTCTCTCCCTGCCATGGCCTTAGGGCTGGAGTAGCTCTCACTCCTCTCTGCAGACCCAGGGCTGAGGCGGGGGGGACAGAGCTTCTCCAGTCTTGGGGCCACAGTGGGGTGGTGGTGGCAGAAAGGAGCGAACAGGAGGAGGGATCATGGGGTGTGTGTGGAATGGGGTGGGGCCCTGGGTGGAATGGGGGTGGGGCTGTGGGCAGAAAGGGTGGGGCGGGGCCACCGTTCCATCGCTGTGGCCTCCCCACTTGCTCTGGCCCAGGGTCCCAGGAGACCTTAATCCACCTCTGGGGTGTTCACTGACCTAACGTCAAGAACAAGGTAGAAAATTCTTTGCCACACATTTTTCTACATTTCTCACACTTTTCTTTAAAAATACGGTTTAATTTTTTGGTAAGCATTTTACATTTTTTAATAGTGTGTGTTTTTAAATGAATTCTTACAAAACATTATAAATGACTACAGTCAATATTATATGTCAACAGGCAGTGCTGGGTTTCAAAATTTGGTCCCTTTTTGTCAGTGGGGCAAGTGGAATCCACTTCTTACCGCTACTTGCACTACTTGCACTGCTGCTTTTTGTTATTGTTTTACATGGTTTAATGAAGCTCAGTTAATGTTCATCCTATTCTGAAAATGAACAGTATCAACTGGCTTTAAAGGAGTTTGTTAAATTCAATTAGTGTATGTTTATGAATCTGCGTGAGCCCACTAGCCTGCAGTAAGGAGGAAGGAGAAAGTTGCAATTCCTACAAGAGGACAAGGTTGCATTGTTATCATAAATGAGTGATACAGATCCAAGGTGCCTCTGTATCTTTCTATCTAAATGTCCCAATTAGAGGGAAAAGAGTAAAGAAAAATGAGAGACCATTAATGTTTGTGTGATCTCCTGAATTGATTAACGTATTTTTTTTTCTTATTCAGCTGTCCAGTTTTTTTACATTCATGCTGGATCACTTTACTTATCTCAATGAGACTGATGCAGGTAAGGATAAAAAAAGTTTAATATGAAAATTCCAGTTTAAAACCAGATATTAGCAAGTGACTTGTCTATGTGATGCCTAGCTACATGCACATGGTTGAAGCTTGGAGCTTCCCATACACTGTAGTGAAAACTTGATCCTATAAATGCTGATTCTGTTAAATATATATACAGTAGATTGAACTGTGTGAGATTCCAGTCAAACATATAAGTAGCTCCCAAAATGTATACAGTGTTTTATGCTACATTGTCTCCTTGAAGAGCTAGTAAATTGTTCTTGTGTTCTTACTGCTTGCAACCCTCCCACCCCCAATCTCTAGAAATATGTATTTTTCTAATTTGTAATGGAAAAGTCTCAAAAAGGAATATGCATTGACCAATACTGAGCAGATGTAACAAAGCACAGAGGTGTTTTCTATGGCAGCGTCTGAAATAGGCAAATACGGAGCATTTTTTAGTGTAATTTATTCTGGACTTTTACTGCAGAACATTTTATGTGGGGCCAGTAGGAAGTTGTCTGGCTACATGAGTTTTTCCACATTTTTTAGCTAACCAGAGCTGCAGATGCAAAATCCAGTCCTTGTGGATATGACATGGATTTTTGACACTCCAGGGGGAATGCTTTGGTTTAATAAAACAATGACTGTATTATGTTTAGTCATACATTTAAAAAAATTGGGACAGATGCTTATAGATAACATTATCTTCTTAAAAATAGTTGTAATCACTGAACTCAGCTGGAACAGACTTGCCAGGGATACTTGGATCCCTTTGCCATCCTACTTCTCTGATCCCTGTAGGAATGAGATATTCTGAAAATTAAGGGGAGCAGCCAACGAAGGAAGAAGCTGTAGAAGCAGAGGGTTGGAAGCCAGAGAAGATTTAGGAGGAAAGACCACAACAGGAACATACTGTATTTTCACTTTAGTAGAATCATGGAATTGGAAGGGACCTCAAGAGGTCATCTAGTCCAGTCCCCTGCACTCATGGCAGGACTAAGTATTATCTAGATCATCCCTGACAGATGTTTGGGTTAACCTGCTCTTAAAAATCTCCAGTGATGGAGATCCCATAACCTCTCTAGGCAATTTATTCCAGTGCTTAACCACCCTGACAGGAAGTTTTTCCTAATGTCCAGTCTAAACTGTCCTTTCTGCAATTCAAGTCCATTGTTTCTGGTCCTGTCCTCAGAGGTACCCTCCTCTTTGTAACCTTTTATGTACTTGAAAACTATTTTCATGCCCCCTCTGTCTTCTCTTCTCCAGACTAAACAAACCCATTTTTTTCCATCTTCCCTCATAGGTCATGTTTTCCTAGACTTTTAATCATTTTTGTTGCTCTTCTCTGGACTTTTTCCAGTTTGTACACATCTTTCCTGAAATGTGGCATCCAGAACTGAACACAATACTCCAGTTGAGGCCTAATCAGCATGGAGTAGAGTGGGAGAATTAATTCTTGTGTCTTGCTTACAACACTCCTGCTAATACATCCCTCCTGAATGATGTTTGCTTTTTTTTGCAATAGTGTTACACTGTTGACTCATATTTAGCTTGTGGTCCACTATGACCCACAGATCCCTTTCTGCAGTACTCCTTCCTAGGTAGTCATTTCCCATTTTGTATGTGTGCAACTGATTGTTCCTTCCTAAGTGGAGTACTTTGCATTTGTCCTTATTGAATTTCATCCTATATGACTGAAGTGAATAGTGCACAGGATTCAAGGAATACCAAAACCATTCAGAATGTGAACAATTAAAATGATCAAATTAAAATTTATATTAGGCTATGTCACAATGTTTTGCAACCAGCTCTAATAAGGCAACGACAGACTAGCCTTTGATCTTTAAAGTGTTTTGAGATCCTTGGATAAAAGTAGCCTTTGAAGTGCAAGTTCCACACAGAGCTACAGCTTGAAACTGACTTCTGTTAAACAAACATCAATTTGTTTAGAAGGTCTGAAGAGAGATAAGCAAGTCTGAACCTAGCTGTGTTAAGGAGGAGGCAGTGCTCACCCTACTGAGTCATAAAAGAATATGAAAGGTCACTTCTCTTTCATCTGGGCCAGCCATTGATTATTTCATTTAAAATGCATACAAGGCACTTTGATAGCAGAATAAAACCATCAAAAACCATAAGTGGTTCAGTGTTCTAATGGCAACAATTAGAAACCACAGTTCTTCTCTCTTAAACTGCCTAGAGTGCCTAATGTACAGTGCACTCTTCTTGAAGGAGAAAGTACATCTGAGCTATGCTCCAGGGCCAAGACGGAGAATAAGGTAGTCCTGCAATTAATTTTTCTACACAGTGCACTATGACAGATAAGTGCGGTCTGCGAATGATCACTTTCCTTGTGGGTTTTATAGGAGTAAAGTGGCTAACTCGAAGAAAATCTAATGAAGTTCATATCATCTACTAGTTATCTGTGCTAATGATGTATTTCACTTCACCCTCTGAACCCAACTGAATCCAAAGTTTTTAGGATGATAGGTTAGCTTGGCTATGCAGTTGCTTGTAAATCATGTCTGAGATGTCTCCCCTAACCAACCTAGATAAATCTGTGCATATTGACCTTTCTTAGGTAAAGGTCTGATAAACACTTTAACTACATAGGGTGAAGTCATGGCTCACCTCTTGTGCCCACACAGAAGAGTAAGGGGGGTAAATTGCCCCTTATTTTCCCTGTGTGGTCTACCTGCATTAAGAGCAAATATTAGTTATAGTTAAAGACTGCCTTGGGAAGTTGTGGAAGCTCCTTCACTAGAGGTTTTCAAAAGGAGGCTGGATAGCCATGGTTTAGATGCAACAAATCCTGCATCTTGACAGGGGGTTAGACTAGATGACCTTTGCAGTCCCTTTTAACCCTATGGTTCTGTGATTCTTGGTCAAAAAACAAAAAGCTTTCATGATAAAGCTCAATTTTCACTGTCATATAGTTTTGAGAAAGTTGTATCTTTGGGGTTAAATGTTTGAGACTTGGTGCCTGCCCGAAGATAACTCTTTTTCTTGTTGTTTTTTGAGTGTAAAAAGGTTTACCACTCTTACAATAGGAGAGGCTAAAAAATACAAGCTTCCCTTAAAAAAAATCTTTTCAGGCATGGAAATCTTCCATCGGCATGGAAATTGTTGTCATTGAGAGGCAGCACGAGGCCTTGCACCAAAGGGAATTGGCTTAACAATATGCATGTTGTAAGTGCTTGCATACTGAAAATGTGCAGTAGAGGGTTTTTTTTGTTTTGTTTTGTTTTTTAATACGAAGCTTGTCAAATCAACATTTAGTTAATCAACATGTACTAAAAAGTTAGGTCGACCCAGCTACATCGCTCGGGGGTGTGAAAAATCCATATCCCGAGCAGCATAATTAGGACAAGCTACGCCCCGGTGTAGACAGTGCTAGGTTGAGAGAAGAATTCTTCCATCCACCTGGCTACCCTCTCTGGAAGGTGGATTACCTAGGTGGACGGGAGGGATTCTCCCATCAGTGTAGGTGGTGTCTACACTGAAGCACTACAGCAGTGCGGCTGCAATGCGGCAGCTGTGCTGCTTTATCATTTGAAGCGTAAACAAGCCCTTAGGCCCTGATTCAGCAAAGCATTTAGGCATGTGCTTAGTTTAAAGCATATACCTAAGTCCATCTCTATTTAGCAAAGCATTTAAGAACCTGACTTTACTGGGACTTAAGCAAGTATTTAAAATGCTTTTCTGAGCAGGGCTATTCTTAAGCAGGTACGTAAGTTCTTGCTGACTCAAGGCCTTATGGAACTGACCTACTGTGAATGTGAGCATAGAGAACAAAGATGCTGCAAATCCGCCTGGACAATTGTCCAAATGTTTTAGGAAGCCCAGGATCCGGTAAAAAGAATTCTGCTGCTGCTTTCCTCAACACATGTTCCTTTAACTTAGGGTAATAGAAACAAGGCTAAAAAGTCCTGAGTAGAGCTAGGCAAAATGTTTTAGATGAACTTTGCATTTTTCGGGGTGCCAAAACTATTTGCAGTTTGAGTCAATTTGACAAATAATTTCTGTTTTAAAAAAAAGAAAAACAACAATTTTTTTTTACATAAAATGTTTTTGTTTCTGCCACGTTGAAACACTTTGTTTCAACCTTTTATACTGAAACACCGCTCTGTTCTGAAATTTGGCCAGGAAAAAAAACCAGAATGAAAAACACCTGAAAAAGACAGAATCAAAATGAAAAAATAAAAAAAATCTATTCAAGTTCACCAAACCATATCGATTGGGGGGGAGGGATAGCTCAGTGGTTTGAGCATTGGCCTGCTAAACCCAGGGTTGTGAGTTCAATCCTTGAGGGGGCCATTTAGGGAACTGGGGTAAAAATCTGTCTGGGGATTAATCCTGCTTTGAGCAGGGGGTTGGACTAGATGACCTCCTGAGGTCCCTTCCAATCCTGATATTCTATGATTCTATGATTGAAATGAAAAACTGGGGAAAAAAATTAGTTTGGGGCCAATCCGAAACATTTCTGTCAATTCACACAGTTTTGTCAAGTTTTTCAATTTGACAATTTTTCTTTAAGATCTTTTTATTCAAATCTAACTAATGTTTTTTCTGGATTTTTCTGGTCGAACCTTGAACTGAAACATGGCTTATTCGCTCCGCGCTAGCCAAGTTCCTCCCCAAGAAGTTCTGTATTGGACCCTTGTGAGAGTCTCAGTAGAAGCAGAGATTGCCTGTCCTGTTCAATAGTTCTATGTGCTGGAAAGAAGAGAGGGGGGTGAATCTTTGAAGGTCCTATAGACCCTGGTCTTTCTTATACTATAATTAAGCCCCCAAAAAATCTTCCTGGCTCATCACAGTGTAAGTTTACTTTCCTGGGTTTTTTTAATGTTTTAAAAAAATTGTGATCACTTTCCACTTAATGCAATTGTCCTTTTGATTTGTTTTGCCCACAGCTATTTCTCATCTCCTCCTCCTCTTCCTGATGTCAGTGTAGTTTCAGCGTCACGAGCGAGATGCTTCATAACTGTGTAAATTGTTCACTTAGCAGTCTTGTTATTCTGGTGGTGTTTGGAGGTGATTTTCAAAAAGGTCTGTGGGAGGGAGGTGTAAAAGCCCTTTCAGCAGTATTAAAAAAAAAAAAAAGGTGTGTGTGGGGGGGGGGACTTTGTAAATGTACCTGCCCAGCCTTTCAGTCCACCCCCGGGATCTCTACCA